CTGCCTTGGCTGATGGAGGAGGAGGGTGACAGCTGCCCCTCTCCCAGCAATGACCCTCTATCCCAGGACCTAGGAAGGACCTGCTTGCCCCTCAGGGAAGGAGGCAATATCTGGGCTTGGTTGGGCATTGGAGGCCTTGCCACTCCTATGGCTCCTCTCATGGAGAGTGCGAGTCTGGTGGGTGCCGGAGCCTAAGAGCTACAGCACCCAGGAACTTGCTATCAGAGCCTGGAGCTGCCTATATCACTCAGGGGCTGGGGACAGCTCTGAGCAGCCCCCTGGAGGGGTTCAGGGGAGCTCTCAGCCCTTCAAGGCCCCTCCCCTCCTAAATGCAGGAAGAAACTGGCACACAGGCCCCCAACCCCAGTTCTGCACCAATAACCTCATTGTGTCTAATCGAGGTGAGCCCCCAGTGTCCCTATCCTCACCCCTCACCTTCAGGTACCCCAGCTGAGGAGCAGGGGCTCCAGGATAGGATTCAGAAACAGTGTGTGCAGCCTTTCTCCTGGGTCCCAGGCCAGTGCCTCCTCTCCTCACTTGACTCTGCCAGGGTCACCTCCCTGCTCCAGAGCTTGAGCTGCAGGCTGCCCAGGCCCAGGTCCTTGGCTCAAGGAGACGTGGGGCCCAGTGCCCAAGCTGCGGGCAGCAGCTGAAGACACTAAGATTCCACCGTGTACATTCCGCCCTTGCCTTCTGCCCCTTGCCCCCCAGTGGTATCTGAATAAAGTATGTAGCTGTTATCTGCCCCCACGCTCCTGTTCTCCTATGGCCCCACTGTCCGCATGTAACGCATTACTGTCCCCCCTTATTTATCTCAGTAGCCCCCTCGCCCCTCCCTCTCCTAGCTGCTCCAGCCCCTATTAACTCTGCATTAAGCATCCAAGTAATAAAATTAAAGGTTCCGGTTACCTGTGTGGTAGGCCTGGCCTGTCTCTTGGTCTCTGTGCTTCCTCAGAGGGCTTCTGCTAGTAGCTAGAAGGTGCAGGGGCTGGTGAGATGGCTCAGTGGTCTAAAGCACCTACTTAGAACAAGCTTGGCAAGGCATCAGGGACCGCGGTTCAATCCCCCAGCACCACATGCCAGCCAGCCCCGCCCCCTGGTGGGCTGAGCTGGCCACACACACACACACACACACGCGCACGCGCACACACACACACACACACACACACAAATAAGTAAATTAAAAAAATTTTTTTTTAATTTAAAAAAAAAAAAAGGTGCAAAGGATATCCCAAGGGTCTCTGTCCCCAGGAAGGACTGGGGACAGGGTGGGGTGCCTTGCATGGGACTAAAGCTTCCCCAGCCCTCTTCTCAGGCCAGCTGGGCCTCACTGCCCTCACTCATCCAGTACAGTGGAATCTGCAAAGAATTCAGGGACAGGTGCTAGAAAGGGGGAGGCGGTTGACTGCCATCAACTGTCAGGCCTGGTCCTTTAAATGTGTGTGGTGGGCACCTGCCTGTAATCCCAACACTCAGGAGGTTGACGCAGGTGGATCACCATGAATTTAAGGCCAGCCTGGGCAGCATAGCAAGACTGTCTCAAAAAAATAAAAAACCTTGTGTGATGTGCAGATGGGCTGTCTGTTGCCCCCTCCGCCCTTCCCTCCCACCCGTTTGTGTGCACTCAGGTGTACACTCCCCAGCCCCTGCCAGGGCCTAGCTGAGCTTTCCCAACACAGCTTGTCTGGGCCTAAAGCAGGAATATTAAGCGAGCCCCCATTTTCTCTACCTTAGCCCCCCATGATTTTGCCCTATAAAAATAACCTGGAACAGACACCTTCCTGGGCAACCCGCTCAGCCCCCCTTCTGTCCTCTCTGAGACAGCTTTCTTTCTCAATAAATATTCTACTCTTAAAAAAAAAAAAAAAAAAAAAGCAGGAATGTGCAGTGCTCTCCTCAGTACTCCCAAGAGCTTTGTCCTCATCAGAGGCTAGGACCCGGCCACCTCACAAGCACCTAACCCAGGGACAAACACCTCCCTCACCCCCTACTGCACTGAGGCACAGCTCAGATGGCTAGAAGTTAGGCTAACCAGAGGGCTATCATGCGTTAAGGGCTATGTGGTCAAGGAGCCCTGAGCTCCGTGTTTGTCATTCAGGACACTGAGAGGGTGTGTTCCATCTCTATTTCCCATGTCCCAACTCAAGCTCTGGGAGGTTGGATCTCAGAAGCACTGGCCTCAGAGCCTGTGCCAAAGCTTACTCTCCAACATCCACCCCTCCACCTCAGCTGGGCCTGCAGACTATTCCGCTTCCACTGTGAAGCTTAAGTCTACTGCTGCAGACTGAGCGCCCTACCTCCTGGCCAGGGCCAGGGCAGGGTGGACACTGGGAACTCAGTCCCCGCAGAGTGGTGGGACCCCTGCATTTGGAAGCTGAGACCAGCAACTTCCTTGGGCCACCTCACCAAAGCATCTGGCTCCAGGAAGCTTGGTGACTGAAAGCCCTGTTTTCAAACAATGTCTGACCACCCCAACTGTATTTAATCTGCTTAAGGTGCTTTTTCTTATAATATCAGGATTTTACTGTGACCACTAGCACACTGTCTTGTTGAATATGACCCATTTACCCACCTATATTAAAACTTGGAACCTAGCTGTCCTCCAGAATTTTGTGGCATTTTTTTTCTCATTGAGTCACTAATAAAGGTCAAAACCAAGAGGGACAGGGCCAGCATACATCACTAAAGTACATCTCCCAGCACCTCTCTTCTCTGTACTCCTAGGGACCAGCTGTCTAGTAAGTTCAGAAAGGACCTCATTACATCATCGTCAAATCCCCACTTCTCCATCCATCATAGCTACCCAGGGACTGCCCAGTAACTCACCAAAACCTAGAGTCACTGATCTGTGGCATCCCCAGATCTACCAAACCAGAAGCCACTGGGACAGGGGGAGAAAAGAAAGATCCAAGATTGAATCCTCTTAGGAACCATGCTGGCTCCTAGATCTCTACTTGATTATCTCAGAGCTATCAAAGAGGAAATGACCTATTCTAGAATTCCAACATGGATCAGTGCTAACGTCCCATGTTCCTAAATTTTACCTCATTTTCCCCTTATTGCAAGGCAGGACACCTGTCCACTTCTAGTCTGTTCACAGCTCCTGTTCTCAGGGGCACCATGGACAGTTAGCAGGGTGTACCTAGCTGAACTACCACCTCTAGGGTCCTGCACCTCGTAGGACTGGATGTAGAGGTGAAATGGCACCAGGAAAGGACAAACACCCCTCCTTAGAAGGGGAGCTCCTGGGCTGGGGAGGTCAGAAAACCCAGACTGTGCTTCGCTTTGACACGTTCTAGGTGAACTTGGGCCTCAGTGCCCTAGTAGCTTCACTTACAAAGAGGAGAAGCAGGTGTTTGTGGGAAGGACTGCAGAGCCTAGGCTCAAACAAGGGAATAGAGACCTGACAATGCTAGCGGGTGACTTTATATTCAAGGGGTCAGGCCCAAGCCCGGGCAGCTGATTAAGGGGCTCCCCAAAGAGGAGCAGAATGAGAAGGGGGAGGCGAGAGTGAACACACCCCTTCCTCCCACTGCCTTACCCCCTATCCCCTAAGGGTTAACCCCCCTCCTGCCCAAGCCCCATCTCCCTTTAATCACATCTGATACTGAGCGGCCCAGCAGGGAACAAAGAGACCATTTAGAGAAATGGGGCCGAGAAAGTGACCCCCGCACTCTGGGGCGGCTGCCTGGATGCCAGCACAAAGGCGGCGTTTCAGAGCTGAAATTTCAGCACCCAACTTGATTAAAGGATTCCACAGGCTCGGAGGAGGTGGCAGGGGTGCGAAGTACACCCTCCCTGGTTTAACCCTTTTCCAGAGCAGCCAGCATCCTCCCACCCTCGGGCAGCTCATCCTTCCCACCTCATCCAGTGCCATCCCAGAGGGTACTGCTTCCTATGGGTCCCCTGAGCCTTGCTCCTCTTCCTCCCTCTTGGCAGAGAGCTGGCAGCAGGATGGAGGTCAGGTTGGCATATCTGGGAGCCAATCTTCCCTTCCATTTTTTTTTTAATATATTTTAATTTTTTGTCATATTCTGTTTTTTATTTATTTTTTTATTTATTTGAGAGAGGGAGAGAGTGTGAGTGTGTGTGGTGTGTGTGTGTGGCCAGCTCAGCCCACCAGGGGGCGGGGCTGGCTGGCATGTGGTGCTGGGGGATCGAACCGTGGTCCCTGTGCTTTGTTAAGCTTGTTCTAAGTAGGTGCTTTAGACCACTGAGCCATCTCTCCAGCCCTTCCCTTCCATTTATGCTGATGTCCACATACACCCTCTCCCTGTCCCCAGAAGAGGGAGGAGCCAATGTGACCTTCCTCCTTTAGCAAGGTAAGCAGGGTGAGAAAGGGAGCTCCTGTGCTAAACCTAGGGGCACAGCATCCCAGCGTCCAGCTCAGGGCGGGCCTGAGGATAACAGCCGCCACAGGACAGCAAAGACATATGACAGGGCCAGGAAGGAGAGGGTGCAGGTGTGTTGGGCCAGAGGGCAGTGTGCAGTGGTGGCCTGAGGAGCGAGATGGGCCTGGGGTGAGCAGGTGCTCAGTCCTGCTCCAGCTGCAGCTCAGGCTCTCCAGGGATGGGGGAGATCACCACACCCCCGCGCTTCCTGCTGGGGCACTGCTCCTGAAAGGGGATCCGAGCCCTCGATAAGGCTCAAGGCAGGTCCTTAGGAAACAATGGGTGGCTTGATGAGACCTGCTCTGTGATACTCCTGAGAAGGGAGAAGCCCCTGTAGCCAGTCCCCACTGGAAAGGAAATTGGGGGTTTCCGTGGTAACCAGCTCCCTGGGTACAAAGACCCATCTGTCTGCTGGGAAGGCAGCTGAGGTGTCTCCCCTGCAGCAGCCTTTGCTCTGGGGAGCGGGGACTCAGAGGGAGGGATGTGGGGGACACAGGGGCCACGGGCTCCCGTGCTCCTTAAAGAGCTGACAGTCACGGGGCCATAGCACTAAGTGCGTGCTCCAGGCAGCAGGTGGTAGCAGTGCAGACAGCTGGAGGTGGAGGGGTCGGGGTTAAACAGTTTATTATGTACGCGTATAAAGTGAGGCTAGAAGCAGGCGGAGGCGAGCCAGAGGCGTCCCCAGTCAGTCGGTGATGATGAGCTCGTCCACCCCCCAGTCTTCATAGCTCCCGTCAGGCAGGTAGCGGCGGATGATGATGGGGATCTTCCGGGCCCTGTGTTGGGAGAAGCCAGCACATGAGGGCCGGGTCTCAGCAATACCCAGCCCACCCCACTCGCCTTCCTGTGCTGATGTCCCCTGCCGGGGAAGCTCAGGACACGCGGACGGGCCTTGGAGCAGGGACTCACTTGAGCTCCTTCATGGCGATAAGCAGTGGATCCGTCTCGCCCTCCAGCTCCACCATCACTGGGGCGCACATCCTGCGGGCACAGGGAATGTGTGGGAGAAGATGGAACCAGGGCGGGGCTGGTGTCATGGGCATCACTAAGCAAGGTGACCTGCTGTCTGCCACAGACCCACCCACTGCACACAGATCTACGTCAGGAGCCAGCAAACTGGATTCAACTGTGCCTCTAAGTGCAGGGCACGGACCTCTCCAAATCTCAATATTCCCATCTGAAAATCAAGAAACACTCAGCACCTTGACTAGCAAGATGGTAAAATCCCACTGCCTGATGCACAGATTCACAAAGTGCTGCCTGCTGTTGTAAGGTGTTGTTACCTCCTGTGTGTACTAATTTCATTTCCCTTTGACTGGGGAGGAACAGAGGCACAGAGAGGCCAGTAACTTGCCCAAGGTCACACAGCCAGTGAGTGGCAGAACCACGATGGGAAACCCATGTCTCTAACCACTGTGCTATCACACTTGCCATGCAATAAGCCTCAGATCTATAAATGAAAGAAAGGTGCTACGGATGGGACAAGGGTGAGCTTTCATCACTAGGCCACAATGCAGTCACACATCACTTCTCTGCCATGAGCCTTCCCCAGTACCAAGCAGGCAGAGCCCAGCGGCTGAGGCAGAGCATCTGGCAGCGGGGCTGCAGCCACCCCCAGGCCTGCCTCAGTGCCTAGCTGCCTCACTTCCCCTCCCTAGCACAGCACAGCCCCGCAGGGTTCTCTCTCTGCAGCCCACCTCCAGCTCTGGCTACTCCCAATCTTCCCACCACTGCCCAGCACCATCAGGCCAGAAGCCAGTTCCGGGTCACCCTTCTAGTACGTTCTCAGGCTATTTCCCTCTACCTGCCCACATTTAAGGTTCCCGACACTACGGTTTAAAAGTGTCCCCCATGCAGGGACCAGGGTTTGATCCTGGGCATGCTGTGCTGGCCCCGCCCCTGGGGCACCCTGAGACACCAACTAAGACTGGATATAGTGGTGCACACCTGTAATCCCAGCGCTTGGGAGGCTGAGAATCACAAGTCTAATCTGTGTAGTAAGATGCTGTACTAAATACAAAAAATAAATAAATATAAATAAAAGTGTCCCCCAAATTAATATATCCTGAGCAGGCAAGCTTGTTCTCTGTCACTGTGTGGGGGCTCTGCCATGTGACACTGCAGCAACATGTCCCCGGGGGCCGTGCAGTGCTCTCTGGCAACTCCCAGCCTCCAGAACTGTGAGCCCCACAAGCCAAGCCATGTGGCCTGGTCTCAGATACTTGGTTACAGCCACATGAAACAGACTATGACACCCAGACCCTCCATACTGAGTCCCTCCTGAGTTCTCGGTCAGCTCTTCCTCTCTGGAAAGGCCTGGGGGGGGCTCAAGAGCATCCACTAACACTTGCTGCACATGCCACACGACTCATCTGCACCTGCTTCTCTTGATACCAAACTCACTGGGGACCATCCACCGCAGGCCACAAGCTTCGGGTGACCTAGGACATGGTACTCCCCAGTGGGGCTCGGCCCTAGCCCACACCTAGCCCACTACAGAGGCTCCAGGCACAAGCAGGGGGGGCCACCTCTAAGCCGCCACCTCCAGGCAGCCAGCTGCGGTTACTCCCACTCCAGGTTCACAGCAGACCAACATCCAGGCCCCACACAGTCCCTCCTCCAAGCCCTCCACACAGTCTCTTCCACGGACCTGAGACTGTGTCCGCAGAGCTGCTCCATTTATTCTGCTCCTCAGCTGGCCCGACAGCCCCTGCTAATTTCGTTTTTCACCACTTACAAATTTTCTTACTAAATATCCTGATTTGGATTACTCAAGAGCCCGTAAGTTGCCCAAGGAAGACACTAATTGTTTAACTTCCCCGAGTCCTCTGTAAGTATTTAAATGTCCCCAGGCCAGGCTCTAGCTCAGTGGTAGAGCAAGTGTGCAGCTGTGAGGCCCTGAGTTTGAATCCCAACCTCAAGAGAGAAAGATGAAATAAATGTGGCAAAATGCTCTGCTCTGCCTAGGCCTTCTGTCTTTCTAAGTATCAATATTCAAGGTCACCCCTTCACTCAGGCCTACCACCTCGCTCACAGAATTCGCAAAGCACAGGAGTGGGCCCTGGAGCACCACCATAGGAACCCGACCTCACCATCATAGGAAGTAAGTGTAGCAAACATCTCAGCCACCAGATGGCGCTAGGAACCAGCCTGGAACTTCATTCAAGACCTAGCCAAGAATGTTTAAGTAGGGTTGGTGGCACAGTCCTGCGGAGGCTGAAGCAGGAGGATCGCCAGGAGTTTGTGGGCAGCCTGGGTTCCAGTGAGTTCAAGGCTAGCCTGAAATGAATGGTGAGACCTTGCCTTCAAAAAAGAAGAACCTGGCCAGCGAGACAGCTCAGTGGACTAAGCGCCTACTCAGGCAAGCTCAGAGACTAGGGTTCCATCCCAAGCACCACATACTATGCTAGCCCTGCCCCTGGACAAACTGAGCCTGTGACCAGTATGGGTGTGGTGATGCATGCCTGTAATCCCAGTGCTGGGGAGTCTGAAAACACGAGGATCATCACCAGTCCAAGCTGCATAGTGAGATCCTGTACCAAATACATTAAAAAAAAAAAAAAAAACACCGACCTGAACCTGTCCCTCCAGGGGCTGGTGGACATCTTTCCAGCATTGCCCCAAGTTATCTCCCATCATAACTCATACTACAGGTCTGGTGCCTGGGATTCCCCGCAAAACCACCTCTCTGTCCCTGAAGGAATCTGCACCCTTGCAACACACACACACACACACACACACACACACACACACACCCTTTCTGAAGCTACATTCACCTCTGCCTTGGGTCCTGGGTATCTGCACACAGGTCTACTTTCCCTGCAAGAGAACCCCAAGGAGACAAGGCTGGCCTCTCCCTCACTCAATGACCAGCTGCAGGCCAGGTGTGGTGGTGCACACCTATGCCCCAATCCCAATCCTTCAGCAGAAAGATTATAGATTTGAGGCCAGCCTGGGCTAAACAGTAAGTTCAAGACCAGCCTGGACTATGAGGTCCTATCTGAAAAAACGCAAAGCTAGGCATGGTGATGCACACCTGTTCCCAGTATCTGGGAGACTGGGAGGGGGCTCACAAATTTGAGGTCAGCCTAAGGTACAAAAGGCAACCCTGAACCAAGTATCGTGGTGCAAGCCTATAACCCCAGCAGTCCAGAGACTGAGGCACAAGGATCACTGGAGAGTTCAAGGACAATTTGGGCTACATAGTGAGTTCAAACTAGCCTGAACTACACAGCAAGACCTTGTCTCCAAAAACAAAAGAGAAAGAAAGGTAGGCACAATAACACACAGCTCATACCTGTAATCCCAGCACTGTAAGAGGCTGAGGCAGGAGGACTGCAGGTTCAAGGTCAGCCTTGGCAACTTACCAAGACCCTGCCTCAAAATTGTAAAACAGGCTGGGATGCAGCTCTGTGTGAAGATCATGGGTTCAATCTCCAGTACCACAAAAACAAAACAAAACAGATCTGCCTGTGGAGTGCTGCCACAGCCCACCTATCAGCACGCAGAGTCCAAAGCTCTCAGATTCACTCTCCAGGGCTAGGGATGCAGCCCAGTGATATAGTGCTTGCCTAGCACGCACAAGGACCCGAGTTCAATCCCCGGTACCTCTCCCCCCAAAAAACCAACCTGTAACACCAGCACTCAGGAGGCTGAGGCAGGAGAATCACTGAGTTTGAAGCCAGCCTGGGCACTTTAAGTGAGTTCAGCAAGGCCAGCCTGAACTATATATCCAGATGCTGTCTCAATATAATAATAATTCATACCTGTTTCACTTCACCAACCTGAAAGACAATTATCCTATTCTGCCTTTATTACTAATTTCTCCTGCACTGTTATTTGATTCCTCAGACCCTTCCTGTGTCCCATTGCTTCTATCAGATCACAGGCTCCCCGCGGAGCCTGCAAAGGGCCCAGCATTCAGATGTGTGAGCAGGAAGGGGCTAGGTTCAGGTCCAGGCTGGGCAGGATCAGCAGCTTAGGGCCTCACTATGGGCTGTGTGACGCAGGGGACAGTGATGGTTCACACTCACGCGATCTGCAGCGCTCGGGTCCCCAGCACGCGGGCTCGCTCGTACTTGGTCATGTATGGGGTGGTGATGCGCTTCTGGTTGGCCTGCGGTCGCTCCCCAGAAGGGAGGATCTCCACATTCTCCTGTCCTTCCTGGACACAAGATAGAACAAAGAAAATCTCAGGCTATTTTTTCGGTGAGGTATCGGTGACAATGACAACTACTGCAATCATTAATGCTGGCTGGATGCCAGGGACATGGAACCACTCACTAACTGCTCATGAAATCCTCTCAGTAACCTAGGAGGCAGGAATTACAGTCTCCACACCACGGGCTTACAGAATCAGCTAGCTGGGCCAGAGCCTCAGACCTAGGCACGGGGAGGAATCATGATTGGGAATCCACAGCCAGCTGCTCATCCACAAGATAAGAGGCAGGGCTGGAAAGGGGATAGGCCCAGCATGCTGGCCCTGTGAGAGGTCTATGAGCAAAACCTAAAGACATCCTGAGCACAGGTACCCATTTCAGGCAGGATAACTGACCCGGTTACCAGCAAAGCCAGCAAAGCAATGGTGAGGGGGGTAAGAATTATATATTCACACATCGAACAATTGTTCATTTTTTATTTTATTTTGGGGAAGGTTCTACAGGGTTTTCAGAGTCTCACTACTAGATCAGACTCTAGCGATCCAACTGTTTACAGCCTCCCAAGAGCTGAGATTACAGGCTGTGCACCACCATGCCCAGTCTTAATTGCTGTGCCCCGGGGGCGGGGCCAGCAAGGCAGGCCTGGGATTGAACCCCTGCACCTGCACCTGTTTGCAGGCACCCTTTTTTTTTTTTTTTTTGCGGAACCGGGGATTGAACTCAGGCCCTTGCACTTGCCAGAGAAGTACTTATTCCACTGAGCCATCTTCCCGGCCTCTTAT